TTGTAAGTAAGAATAAGGGATCCACCTGGTTAAAAAAAAAAGTTCAAGAAGCCTTGTATGCTCACCAAGGCAGCATTTATTTGATTAAATACACAGTAATACAGAAATATTATTACTAGGGATGCACCGATACTGAGCTCCTGTACTCCCTGCCCCGATACCACACAACATGTGATAAGTGCCATATTCAGACAAAGATACACTGACAACAGACAGCAGAATGGGGTTATTAGAGATTAAAGATGTCTACGAAGTATATGTATGCAATGCATATAAAACATTCAGTATTAATGCTTGTATAGCTCATTTGCGCCAGCTGGTAAGCAAATCACGCTGAGCGGATTGAGCGCGCAGCGGCGCAAATGCTTGAGCTTGTCGAGTGAATATCCCTTTCTCACAGACATCACTGGAAAGTTTGTAGTTCGGTCGGATATGTCAAAAAGATGTAAGTAAAACAATGCAAAGGTTACTTAATGGTAGGGAGGGAGGGAGGGAGAGAGAGAGAGAGAAAGAGAGAGAGAGCGTGCACTTCTGTTGTGTGATCTTTATTGATGTTCGCTCACTTAGCACACGCATCATTTGGATTAAAACTAAATCGTAAATATAAGACAATTTATAGGGGCATTCACTATAAACGTAATTTATTTTCACCCTTAAGCATACACTACTTCCTGGCGAAAGTGAAACTAACATCCTGTGTGAAATGCGCTCGGCTGTACTGTATTTGTCCATCTCATTCTGCACCAGTACAAATACGTGTGCACGTTGTACGTGTTTTGCTTGCTTCATGAGTGTTTCTGCATTATATGAGTGGCTTTGGAAAATAAATCGCTGCTCGTTTCAGATTAAAAAAACGCAACTTCGATTTATGGAAATATCACAGTTAGGAGATTTATAGCGAGTGGTTCCCTGCATTTTTACAGCAAAATCGCGTGATTAAAGTACTAAGCCGCTGCAATGGAGCAGCTCTAATGCTATTAAATTAAAGATGATGTAGGCTACCAGAGAGAGAGAAAAAAATTAACAGTGAAAGTAACAAAAACTTGTAAAATACATTTTAATGGGCATAATTAAGTGTGAAAATAACAGAAGGATATACAGTCAAACCAAAAATTATTCAGAGACCAGATATCATTTTTTATATTTTTTTACTAGTGGGTGCAGGACACTATAATTCATTTATGTAAGTGAGGATAGCGAAATAAACTAAACTGTGATATATTGAGACTACCAGTAAAATTGATACAAATTTGGGACCAAAAATTATTCAGACCGAGTCTGGGAAAAAATTGAATTTGAGGTTTGCATGAACCTGGGTGACAGCATGCCCAGGAGACTACAGGCTGTCATTAAGGCTAAAGGTCACCCGACAAAGTATTGATAGTTGTGTAAATACTGTCATACTAACAGTATTGGTACTCGGTATCGGAAAGTACCAAAGATAAAAGTATCGGTATCGGGCAAGTACTGGAAAAAGTGGTATCAGTGCATCCCTACACGAAACTCTTCTTTCCGTTATAAAACGATGTACGTTAAGGTTTATGCAATCTGCTTTCTACATTGGCTTTGTCTTCTGTGCATTCTGTAACAGAAAGTTCCACATTAACTTGTTGTTCAGAGTGATTTAGTTCATGCAAACTCAAAGGCTCAGAATGTTGTCTTCAGTTGTAGTGGAAACGTTTGCTGTTAAAATCCTTGAGTTCTTAAAGGACGAGCTGTTCCACGGTTGACCTTATACAGCAAAGTTATGTTTCAGTCAGTCTCATGGCTATGTCTAAAATGGATGGAGCATTTTATTAGGCTGTTTAAAAAAAAAACTTCATCTGTGCAGTTCAAGCATCAGAGGAGTTTTACAGAATTTTTCTGTCAGGGTTGCTTTTCTATTCTCAACTTTTGTCTACAATAAAAACTAAAGATTTATATTGTCAGTAAATGTCCTTAGTGTGAATTTGTACAATTTCTCAGAGCAAGTTATGCGAGTTATGCAAGAGATGATTAGCAGAATTATTTCAGTATATTTTATGATTCTGAACAAACTGCTTCCATAGTAATAATCGTGTGGGTGAAGAAAAATATGAACCAATAACATCATAGGATTTGTTTAACAATTCAGTCAAATATAGATGGTAAAATTCAAGTCCCGCCCAATGTTATTTCCAACGGAGTATTCTGTTTCACTCAAATGTTACATTATGAAAGATTCCTGTTGTCTTTAATCATTAGTTGTGAATATTCTTAATTGGTTTGCTTTCTGCTTATCTCTCTCCTTCTCACACCCAGTGCTGATGTCCTAGCTGTTTTTATGGAGAGCTGGGCTGGATGCAGAGTTCAGATGTAGAAAATCCTTGATGATGCTGATGATGATGAAGACCATGTTGCTGCTGATCTCAGTACTCCTAATTCAGGCTCTTCATTCCCAGGGCAGACCGGCCACCCAAGATGAGAGTAAGCCTTTTTTGTAGTACTCTTGTTGTATCGTGTCTCAGTTGAAGATGTGTTAATAATAAACCATGTCTCAGACACTTTGCAATTAAGCAACTGAAATAGTTTTTAAATTGGTCATGTCCTACACTTTTATGCCAGTTTTTTTTTTTTCAATTTTTCCTCTTAAATCCACTTAATGTCTTTCACCAAAAACATTGTTTTCCACCCTCTGTCTGAGCCTAAATTAAACAGACTGTATGTTGCAACAGTACTATTAGGATTTCTTCATATATGAACATCATTAAGGTTTCACAATGACGTAATGTTAAGCTTATATTCAGGAAACTGTCTGCATAATTCATCAAACACTTTTCTTCATATTCACTGTAAAACATGTGATCAGTTTTCCAATTTCAGGTTCATTTTATGAGATTCAGCTCAATTTTTATGAGATTCAGCATTTTAAGTGCGTTTAATATAATTCAATTTGTACATCCAGTTGGATTATACTTAAATATTTAAGGTTGCAACTGAACATTTAAAGTTGAAGTAGGTGGCTTTTTTTTTTACAGTGTTTTTATTATTCTAAAGAGCAAGTAAAATGCTGTTTTATACAATATCTCCCCATTAAAATTAGCTAGATTTTGTTGAAATGGTACAATACAATTGTATGGCTATGTCATATGACCATATGCTTGTTCTCAAACCATGTTCGCATCTCCAATATGCTGTAAATCAGTGGTGTGCCAGGGGGAATCACATTCTACTCCTAGCTGTGGAAGTTTACACTTGGATACCATTCGTTCTCCATTTCCACCTCATATTCAAAATAGTCATTTAAAACCCTAAGGACTTTCATGCACTGAAGTCGTAGACAGAGTGAAAAAGGGAAACGGGTTGGGAAAAAAAAAACACCAGCTGAAATAAAACCCTGAAAAATGTGTCCTTTGGCAACATTCCAGCTGAGCGAGTGCCTGTGGCTCTCACAGGCCCAAGCGTGCTTCCGTAGCTTCATCATCCTCTTTTGGATTTCGGAAATAGGGTGTTCCCAGGAGACTTCTAAATGCCTTACATTACAGTTACCACTATTATAATAAAGTGAGTGGTCACTTCTGCTCTGGCCGACTGTGGAGGCTTTAAATAAACACAGTAGTTTTGAATTTAAAAGCTGGAGGTGTGAAATAGCTGCCATCTGTACCCTCCGGCTAAGCAAAAATACCTAACTTTTCTCTTTCTCCCTCCCCGTTGTTTCACCATCCTCCTTTTGTAATGAAAAGGTATTTGTTGTCAAGAGTTGACTGCCGGAGACGTTATAAATTACTGCTTTTAAAAGAAGACACAGAAAGTACTCCGCCCTGTGGTGCTATTCCACAGTGGAGATCGTGTTTCTGGGAAAACATAGCACGTTTTCTTGTGGTTGAGTGCAGAGTTGTTAAGTGTAGACCTATGGGTTGTACTCCTCATGAAAACTTGAATTGCATGAAAAACTTGGTAAATGTTAACAAGATCGCAGATTTAGTCCTGTAGAATTACTGCGGGTTTAACGAATCGGGGGCTCGTCCGGGATACAAGTTACTTCGTTCCCCATGATTTGACTATTTTGGTAATTTATTGCAGTTTCTGACTATTAGTTTGAATACTTTCCTAAAATATTTTGTTGTGACTATAATGTAGGGAGGAAACCCCAACCAGAATGTGATGGATTACCTTTTACCCACTTAATGCTTGACAGCCAAATGGCCAGGCATGCTGATACAGTCTACGCGTTTCCTCTACTCCTCCTCTCCCTTCGTCCTCCTGTCAGGACAGCGAGCACTTTTCCCTCTCTCCCCTCTGGCCTCCTGTGGTGTAAATGATAGTTTCAGCTGTTGATGAGTGACTTACACTCCAGCATTTGGTTACATTTGTTTTTTTCCCTAGGTGGGAATACAACCTGCACAAACAACAGGATTTCCTTAAGTAGTGTGTTTCAAATTTGTCTAAACACTCTTAAATGGTTTGGGATCGGAAGACACTTTCAAAGGCCCAAAATGTATTTAATGGAAAGTGAAATAAAAATCTAAATCTAATCTAAATGTGGAGTTATTTGCAAGTCATTCAAAAATGTTCCTTTTTCCTTTTGTTCAAATGAATACGTTATGCTTTTATAACTTCATCTATGGTAAATGATAATAAAATGTAAGTTTGTTATTGTTAATTTAGTTTTGTTTATATGCTAATATAGTGTTTGTTTTTCTTGAATTAGCTATTTTCCAGTTTAATTATAAAAATAATTAAAATTTGTATTCGTTTTTTTTTGTTTCTATTTAACTTTAGTACATTTTTAATTTCAGTTTTAGTTATTTTAGAACTGCTACTTATTTTATTTCAGTTATTTGCCAGGGCAGCATTTCTGATTTTCATCTAATATTTATACTTAATTATATTTAACTTTATTTCAATTTCCTTCAAAAAATAATTTTGAATAGTTTAACTATCAACACTATTCCGTTAACTTCCAAAGAGCCAAGCGCACACTACATGACTCAATCTCATTGTCTTTGTTTTGTTATGGCAATATAACACTTTTATATAAGGTGCATTTGTGAGAGATGCTCCAAATAGTGATGAATACTATGACCGATTTCAAACCAGTTTCATAATTCAAACTTTTAATGAACCAGTTTGATTTAAAATTACTCAATGAGTTGTCACTCAATACTGTTCCCAATATTCCTCTTACATTACTTTAAGGATATAAAAATATCTGATTTCTGTTGTTCATGGTTAATGTCCATTGATGCATTTTTTATTTTTTGCCACATAATTTTTTTACTTTCTTTTAAACAATCTGACTATCTAGAAGGAGATGAATAAATACTTTGGAGAAACAATGGCTGTGATTCAGCATGCTGATCTCATTCCTGCCCCTCCTGCAGACCATATGTGTGTGTACATGGCCACATTTGCATGTAGGCAAGCAGTGATTATGTTTGTACGACCGTGGTTATTGTGAACAAATGCCATTAGCATCTAAGTCCTGATGTGGGCTTTAATTGACGTAGGCTAGCATAAGACAAGGCAGGTTAATGCTAGGGGAGGTGTGTGTGTTTCTTTTGGTGTCACGCTGAGCCAACACCTTCACTAATCACTGACTGCTAGTCAGGATAATCAAATGTACTTACCAGTCACATTCCAGTTTCTTTGTGACTGTGCACATTCCAGGCTGTTACTGAGACTAAACCTCTGATATCTCAGCCGCAGATCACTGGGATAAAGTAGTGGTCATTTTTCTGTCTGTTTTTTTTACATTTTCTGTGGCTTTCTAAGTTCTACTTACATCTCTGTACTTGACCATCATTCTCTCTCATGAAAGGAAATCCCTGTGGTCATTTTCTTCTTGTATTGCTTCCTCTCTTGTATCCAGTCTCTCTCTGAAAGGTCCCTCTGCCCTTCCTGCACACTAAGTCTTACTCGCCTCTAATTTTGTCCATCGCCAAAAAATTTCTCTTTCACAATTTACCGTAATTAACTTGATTTTCAAGGATGTAAATCATGTTTTCCGAATGGCTTGGAGCAGGAAAGAAAAAAATGCAATGGCTATTCCAGCTGGGTTGCTTTCCCGAAAATATAGACTTTAATCCAAACTAATCTAGTCACAGAATCTGGAATATTAACAGCCTTGAGATTCCACGAGGAGTGATTTGGCACGACAGGGTGCATCTTTACTTGAAGTTAGTTACGTAAGTTAGTTACAGCCCTCAGAATTCTTTTTTTTGTTGAAACTACAAAAAAGTTTTGTTAAGTACACACGGAACTCAAATGTTTTAATTTTTCCACCAGTTTGAGGCTGTGACCAAACTAGTTGCTTTGTGAAAGTACTAAAATATTACTATTATATAATAAATTAATTTACAATTTTTTTTTTTTTCAAACTTTGTGTTGCAATAATATATTGAAGTATAATGGGTTATTTTAGTGACAATGTGAGATGTAAAATGTTTATCATATACCATTTCAATATTTGTGAAAATTTACTTTAAACAAATTGTCTTGAGTTAGAATCCAAAAAAGTACAAGGAAAAAAACACTGCCTATTTCTATTTTCACCGTGTAGCTGAAGTAGGGACAGATCTTTTCTTACATAATGTGGCATATTTAAACTGATTATTGAATAAGAAAACATGTAGGACAGGGTTTTGGTTCTATGCATCAGTTATTCATTGGATGGAATCAGATCTGAATGCAAGCTTGCAGTCGATTTTGTGAGAAGGGAGCAGGGTTTAAAAAGCCTAAATGATTAGAGAAATGCAGTTATGATATTCTGATAAAAATTTACAAAAAGATCATATATATATATATGTACATTATATTCATTTTAGAGAATAGATTCAAAAGATTTGACTTTCTGGCTTCTATTTTCTTCAACTTGTACATCAAATATGTTTCCCCATCATAAGTTTTTTTTTCATCATAACTTTTTTCCAGTTAATATTCTTTATTCCCCCCAGTGCAGTAGTTGTGCCAGACGACATCTGGAGTCTATAGCTCGCACACCGGTCCATGTCTTCAGCTTGTATTGCATGGTGTTTTGTTCTTTTGAAGTGACTGATGGCTTGGTAACATGCCACTATTTAATATCCTGGAAGGAAGTCGATTAATGACTATAAATCATAAAGCAGCTGTATAATTTTCTCCCTGTGTGATTATTGCAGAATACTCTCACTTGATACCTCACAGTAAACAGCTTCTCTGGTGACTGGTGCGAAATGTTTTCCGCATCTGCTCTGCTCAATCAAAAATGTAAAGAGGAAATTACAATCTCATTGTCACGAACTTACGATCAGTCAATGTGTCTTTTATATGAATTTCTCATTAATTATAATGTGAAACATTTCTGGCTCATTGGCACTGAGGTCAAGTGAGGCTGTGCTGTTTATAGGGTAGAAGTGAGTGTCTTTGAATGGCCCCAGTAGACTTAGTTGTCTTAAGACTGGTTTTATGCCAGTACGCAAATGTGTTTTCTCTAGCAGTGTTTTTTT